CACCCCCCCCCCCCCCCTCGGCAAATAAATGTACTTTCCCTTAGTTTTGGCATTATGATGTTAGTACTAGTTTTGGCCGCATTATGCATGATGTGATTGATGTCAGTTTTGGACTTTTGGCATTATGATCGATGTTAATTGACAACTTGACATTATGATATTACCATGAACACTTGCGATCGCAATACTAGGCGTGGAAGGCATCATGGGAAGTCAATCAAAATCGACAAAATGGCGGCAGGATTGACCGAAATTTGCAATGACTGGTTGTCAAACGACTTTTCTCTGTTGTTTTCAGTCATGGAGAGATCGATTTTTACATCTACCGACTCGAACAATCACTGTTTTAGTGATTCGGAAATGTTTTTTTCTCAGATTCACATTTACCGGCCATTTTAATGTGAAAAGATAAAATAACTTAATTACGTTGCCTGCACTGATCTCATAGTATAACTGTAAGTAACAACGAGTTCTTCCCTTGGTGCCTTTCACGCCTAGCCTGCGACCGCAAGTGTTCATGGTAACATCATATGCCAAGTCACATCATAATGCTAAAAGTGCAAAACCTAGAATTCCAAAACTAACATCATAAGTCCAAAACTAACATCACAATGCCAAAACTAATTTCATAAAGGAAAACTAAGTACATAAATGCGAAAACAACAAAAGAATTGTAAATCTGTAACATAGTTGATAAACACATCAGAACTAAAAATCTACTTCAAAATATAGAATAATCACGTCATAATGTCAAAAGTGAATTTTGTCTTTCACGACGCTCCTGATATTTTTCGAAATACAACTGATCAAGACACAAACTACGGACGAGATTATACCGTAGTAGTGAGCAGTTCAACAAGGCAGAAGGTCCAGAAGCAGTCAATATCTATCAATTTATACCACATTTCTTTATTTTTATTTCTATTTCAACTATATTAGCCACCAGTTAGAGGGCATCATTACAGAATGAAAAAGAATTAGCACCATATATGTATAACGGTAAACATCGATTGATCATGACCATGCATCTGGTACACGATAGCGTACAATTGTATTTAGTGAAAACACATTTCCTCTGTGTGTTATTCACAAATTTCATTAATAAAATCGAGATTTGAAGGCCACTATTTATATAGCATGCAGAAGCTTGTCTCCTGTCATGGCTACCCTTTTTAAATAAATGTTTTACATTACAAATCAACTAGGATACTCGATAAACTTCTCCTTGTATTCTCAAATATCATTGAAATTAATTTTCTACTAAATGGTGTAACTGCGTGTGTGTGTATGCATAATTATAAGTATATTTAATTTATTCTGTTATATAAACAGACTTGCAAAGTGTGATAAATATATAGTCTTGCGTAAGAATCTGTAAAGTGAACATTAAGCGTTAGTAAAGAGAACACTAAAAATAATCTAAAGACATCATTATATCTCACGGATACTTCCCATAAAGAGTTTAACAAGGGAAAGACCGTCGAGATACCGTTGAATCGGTTATTGTAAAGTAATAAAATTAAAGAGATTTAATCAGTCTTGTGTGTTAAAGTCAATGCTTTACGGTGAGCAAGCGCCGTCACAGTGAGATATATGTCGCTAAATGGAGACTGTTTAAGTAAAGAGGACGAAGAGAATATTATGGAAAGTTCGAGGTCACTGCCAGAAATAAATAGATCGAAGTTTGTGAGTTTGACCGAAAATTCTAAAGACGAAAGACCTCGAAGCGAAATCAATGATGCGGCTCGAAGCAGAAGGTTAACCGCTAAAGGCGAAGCGTATGTCGAAAACAAGTTACTTCAGGATCGAACGTTAGCTGGCGCCGCTCTTCGAAGGAAAATTACCTACATAAATCGTATGCTCGAACAGCCGAATGAAATTTCAGTTTTAGAAAAGCTACGAGAAGACTTAGATTCATTGCGAGAAAGATTAGACGAAGCACATCAAATCTATTATTCAAAAATTAATCCTGGTGAAATCAATGAAGCGTACCAATGGTATGATATCCGAGATCGTGAACATTTTCAATGCCGTAGAAGAATTAACGAAGCAATAAAGCAACAAGAACTTGTGATGGCACCCGAACGTTTTTCACAGAGAAGTTCGCGTTCAAAATCATCACGTTCGTCGGGAAGTTCCTCGTCGTCCGTGCGTTCTAGATTAGCGAAAGCCGCAGCTAAAGCTGCAACACTTCAAATCGAAATGGATTTTATTGATCGAGAAGCAGAGCATAAAAGGCAGAAAATGTTAAAGGAAATCGCCAAAGCTAAAGCCGAAGAAAAAGCTATGAAAAAATTAGAGGAAGAATTCGCGTTAAAAGAGACAATTTCGACCCACCAAAATAATGATATGGAGGCTTATTTTGAAGCAAACAACCATCGCGTGATAAATGTTAAAGAATCTGGTCAACCGAGACATGTTGAGCGTACAGTCCTGGACTCGAGTTCGTGTATTCACAAAGACGATCCTATTAAGCAAGAGTTCGTTCCCGAGCAAATTGATCCTACACTATTGGAAAGTCAACAAGATGGGTTCATCCCAAAGGTCGAGTTGAATAAAGCACGAGATAACTCAAATCATAAGCAACAAAATGAAACTGGTACTATTGGTTCAGTATTGATGCAATTGGAAAAACAACAAGTTTTGAACTCTTTGCCCCAACAGCAACCACCCGTGTTTTCTGGAAATTATTTCGATTATCCTTACTTCGTGAGTGCATTTGACTCGTTGATTGAAGCCAAAGTTGACGACCGGAAGCAGAGACTTTATTATTTGAATCAGTTTACGGTGAAGCCAGGGAGATGATTAAAGGCCTGGTCACTTTGAATTCACCAGATGCGTACAGCAAAGCAAGAAATATTCTCAAAGAACGATTTGGACATCCATATCGCGTTGCACAAGCATACAAAGAAAAGTTAATGAGCTGGAGTCCTATTAAAGACTCGGGAGATGGTGTTAATCTACAGAGACTCTCAGATTTTCTTGTTCAAACTGAAGAAGCTATGAAAACAATTGAGTATATGGAAGTGTTAAACAACGAAGATATCTTGAAGAAAATCTGCTCAAAACTACCTAATTTCGCCATTCCAAGATGGTGTCGATGTGCCAATGAAATTCTTACGAAGGGGAATATGGTTAAATTTCATGACTTGGTCGAGTTCGTGAAAGCTGAAGCAGAATTCGCAACAAATCCAGTTTTTTCTCCATACGCTATTAAAGAAGAGAGAAAGGGTGATAAGAAGTATGAAACTAGAGAACAAAATTCCCGATATTGGAGAAGAAATGAAAATTCAAGCAGCTTTCGCACTCAGCTTGGTTCCCAAACACCGAAAGGCGGAGTGAAGACCCTCGTAATGCGTAAGTGTATTCTGTGTACAGAGAATCATCCATTAGCAAGTTGTCAGAAGTTTAAAGAAATGAAATTGAAAGACAGGATAGACTTCGTTAGAAAGAAGGAATTGTGTTTTGGATGTCTTGGTATGGGTCAT